GACTGAGAGAAGCCGAGGGAAGGGGAGGAGTTTCTCCAGCTCCGGTCTTTAATCCCAGCAGCGAGGTGTCAGGGGGGACCTTCGCAAGAGCATGAGATGCCCCTACAGACGCTGCTCCCTTTCTCACTCTTCCGCCCTTTCGAAAATATCCGGAGCATCCTGGGGGAGGGGGGGAGAAAGTTTCCTTCCCCTCGCGTAGCCCGGCCGCACTCTCACCAAAAGAGAGAGAGAAAAAAATAAATAACCCAAACCGACCCCCAAAACACCCGAAGGCCACAAGACCCGAAAAGGGGAAGGCGTTCGGGCGACGCTCTTGGCAGACCGTGGAGTCCCGCGGGGAGCCCGACCGGGGAGGGAGAGAGGGAAGGAGGGCAGGAGGATGGGAGGAGGTGCCCGGGCGCTCCGAGAGCCCCGGCAGGGTCCCCGGGAGCTGCAAAACGAGCACCACGCAACTTTCCCGCAAGTCCGGCCGCTTCCCCCGGCTGCCGCTCGCCCCGGGCCGCCCCGCCGGCCCCTTGGCGGGGGGAGAGGAGCTGGAGCTGTGCCTGCATTCCCCGGGCTGCCGGAGCACGGAGGTGGGCAAATAGGCTGGGTTTCACCTTGCCAAAAACGCCCAAAGGCGGCGCGGTTCCTCTCCCTCCCGACCTCCCAGGCTGTTTCCTCGCCTCCCTCCCCTCAGGATTTCTCCTGGCCGTGCCCTAAGGGAGGGGTATTTCTTTCCCTGAGGCACCGCTTCCCACCCGCGCTCCCCGCAGCCCAACCCGGCCGCTGCAGCCCCGGGATGGCGCTGGGCAAGGAGGGGGCCCCGCCAGCTTTCATCCCCTCTGGGTGAAACCCCAGGCTGCCCTCCCTTCGCCGGGCTGACAGGGAACGCGCCAGGCCCAGGAGGGCCGCAGTCCACCCCTGAACGTAGATTTTTCCGCTCCCTCCCTCCAAAAAGCCTTCAACGCGCTTGCAGATTCAGCCGAGCGAAAGAGGCGGCTCAGCCCCCGCTGGCGAATGGATTTGGCGTCGCCGGGTCACAGAGAAGGAAAAGCTTCCAACATCCATCACCTGTGGCTGTGCTGCTGCCTCAGAGCAACCCCACGGCAGTGCCACCCCTGCTGCCAGGCTGCCACCAGGGCTGAGTCTGGGACACCAAGCACAGAGGTGGCTTTTCTTTAGGACAGCAGGTGGTTTAAACAAGCATACATTGTGCATCAAAAGGTGAGAGTTTGTTTCAGAAGTGGCTCTTCTTCCCTCGACAATCTCTGCACCTTTTTACGCTGCCTGAATTTGAGGATAAAACCAAGCCTGTTGCAGCCACAGAGCTTTGATCACAGCACTTAAACTCAGATTTTTCCCTGGGTTCAAAGATGTGCGTCACTCCCAACAAATCTTAGGGGATTCTATAAAACAATGTTTGAGGAGAGACGGGAGAAGAGTTTTCTTCAAAAAATTTATCTTCTGAAAAATACAGGGTTGCAGTGGTTATCATCAAGAAATACAAGAATTCAGATTTATTTCCCTCCTTATGGAAGTCTCAGTATTTAACAGGTGCAAAGTTTGGTTGGGTGGAAAGCCTGTAGCCACTTCTCCAAAACAATACAATTAAATAAAATTAAATAAAAATATGACCCCTTTAATGTAATAGACAACTGTGCTATAGGTTCCTACAGGATTTCATGGAAGGAAACAGAAATGAAACAGGGCTTAACATCACTGACACCAGGTCAGGAAGGGATGTGGATGGGTCTGCTTTCTCCCAACATTTATATAAACTCTGGCAACAAAGGGCTGTTTCCAAGGTATATGGGAATGACTGGAATAAAGAAATAAAAAAAAATTACTAATAAGCATGTCTATGAAAAAAATTGTCATAACATTTTTTCTAGATACTATGGCCTTGAGAGTTAAAAAAATTAGGGAAGAAAAGGTAGAATTTCTTTAGAAGGATTTTTAACAACGGGTATTATAAGCACAGAGATCTCCTGGACATTCTTCATTAAGTTAACAAACATTCAAGGTGGAATAAAAATTACATATATATAGTCCTTTTCCTTGTTTATGCAAAATTGTTTCCCACAATATTATAATTTATTTTCTACATTTAGTATTTTAAATCTAAATTAATTCTTCTTCTTTTAGATTATTTGTATGAATAATTGTGGTTATTGTAGAAGAAGTTTCAGAAAATTACATAAAGGCAGCACGATCAAACTCCCAAACCTAAAAAAAAATCCACAAATCAACCTCCCCACCATCAGGATATTGCCTTAAGCACATTTATAACTTTCAGAATACCACAGTAAGGGGTTATCCTTATTTTTTTTTTCCTTTGACCCTCTAAGATCTCAAATATGACCTTTGATTCTCCAGCCATATTTTTAAACTTTTCATTGCAGCTCTGAGGATTAGAGACATGTTAAAAAAAAAACTAAACAAACCACCAAAAATTACAACAAACAACAAAACAAAGCCTAAATCCTCTTACAGTTGCTAGACTTCAAGAGCTTGACTCCTTGTAAAATCAAGTGTCAATAAGACCCTGCCATAAAATAATCACCAATTATTTCAGACATTAGAGCACCATGTTTTTTATCCTTTTATCTTTCATGGATAAACGTAGGCAGCATATGAACAAACATTGTAAATACCTTTAATGAAATCTAAAGTTATTTTGATTCATTTTATTACCAACAACCATGCGTGCAGACGCATGTAAGCATCTAAATTACTAATTTCACAGACAAATGGGTACTAAAACACTTTGGAGAATATCATGGAATCACAGAGTGGTTTGGGATGGAAGAGACCTTAGAGATTATCTGGTTCCAAACCCCTTCCTATGGGCAAGGACACTTTCCACTAGACCAGGTTGCTCAGAGCTCAATCCAACCTGGCCATGAACGCTTCCAGGGATGGGGCATCACATTTTCCACCAAATATTTAGAGGTTTCATGACCCCTCAGGGGGGAAAAGCAGAACAGCATTTCAAACACACCAGGCACACTTTGCCATTCCCCTACACCACCCAAATGTTCCCCATTATAGCTCAGCCCTACCTGTAACTCAGCAGAAGCAGCACATTTTGGGCTACACCCTGCCACAGGACTTGCCCTAGTTAATCCTTAAATACAGGCTGAGTCAATTTGTCCATAATAAATTTCCCCAAGTACATTCCTAAGTTTATAAAATAGCCATAAAACTTTTCTTTGAGCCTTGGTTGTATTGATTATAGTTGCTGTAAGGAAAATAATGTCACCAGTGAACTTTTGTGTTGAGGTTCCACACCCAATATGTAGAGATTTTCTAAAGACTTTAAATTTCACTGAAAAAATATATCTAAAAAAATGTGGTGAATGGGGAGAGCTACGTGAGTTGTTGGTGGGTTTTAAATCGTTATTAAAACCAGTATTTTTTGGTAACACTTTATAGTTTGTTGTTGGTAATATAATTTATATTGCATTAGAGAAAAAAAGCTATCTGTGAAAAAAACCTATTATTCTTTCTCTGCAGATGATATATTAATCATACTGTGAGCATTCAATGTAGATTTTTCACACATGCAGTCTGTAGGTATATTTCAGGCAGAAAACCCTGCAGAAGTCTCATTTTGGGTGACTATATTTCCTACCAGAAATAATGTGTTTGTTCTATACCAGAGTGAATATTGTAATTTCTCAAGTCAACCACATTATTTCTTAAGTATATGTACACATATATTCTTATTTGGGACTTTCCAACCTTTTAAAAATGTTTCTAGAATTTAGAGACAAGTTCTTAAAAATCAAGACATTTTGAAATCTGGAAGCCCAAGGCCTTGTCTTGTTATTGGTATTCAGTATCACAGCATTAACTGTGCTTAATCATAGCTATTTTCTCTTTATTCTCTTCTTATGTTAATATTTGTCCTTGCTGGTCTCTGCACTTCCTCCTCTGCCTATCCCTTTCTTTTCACATTTCACCTCTCATTCTCATCTTTCTGATTTTGTTCTCCGTCTTTCTCTCTTTTCCAATTTGCCACTCAGTTCTTTAAGCACGCTTAGTCGATTGCTTGGTTTCTGTTCAACACATTTATTAGACTGAATTCAACCTTGCTGCATAGGGCTCCTTAACTTAATTACCAGTACAATCTAATTAACCTGATGCAGTATTGGGATGCAGCAGTCCCTGCACAAGCCTTCTGTAGAGGCCAGAGAGGACACTCCCTGACATCTGTCTTCCCACACCCACACTCACCTGCTACCTGCTGACACTCGGCACAGTACGGGACGCAGATTTCAAGTCAAGTAGAATATAGGCTCAACATAAGGAAATTCCTGTAGACAGCTAAATTGCATTGTTTGCAGCAAAACTGCAATTAAAATTGCCTTCCTGGGGGAAATTTTCTGGAGGAATTGCAAGTCTGCCAGGAAAGCCTGAGTGGCTGAAGCAAGTGAGGTAATGAGGTTAATGAGAGGAGCTTCCTGTCCCCAGAAGGTCTCCAGGAACATAACAGTAGCAAAGAGTGACAAATATTTGTGCTGAGAGAGGGGTTGTGTGGACAGGTGGCTGTGCTTCCTCTCTAGGCTGTCAGACACCTTCTGGTATGTAAGTGGTCACTGCAATGGATTCTCTTGTCACCTGAAGCCCAGCAGCACAGTGCCCTGCCGCTCCCTCCTTTACTGTCACACCATTTCTGCTGGGTGCTGGCTGCTTCCTCCAGAGCTGCTGCACTGCTTCATCCTCTGGGTCACTGGGATGTCTTCTCAGCCAGACCACAGCACAGAGGAGAGGAAGTGAGAAAGAAGCAGTTTCATAGCACTTTCCTAGGCTGTTTCTCTAATTTAATCTGACTCCTAATTTCTCTCAAACTGCCAAGGGAAGGGGCAGTTTTTGAGTTTACTTCCTTTTCCACTTGCAAATCTTGTCCACCTTGACAACTGATCCTGGGTACCAAAAAGTTTCAGAAGTCTTCATTCAAAATGAGTAGGTCCATGGAATGGGTTTATTTGGTACACAGAAGGCCGTGGCATGGGCTCTGGTGCAAGGATTGGCAGGAGGCTCCCTGTTTGGCAGCTGCAGTGCTTGCCTCACTGTGCCTCATCCTCATGGCTCCAGAACCACAATCCCCACGAGGCTGCCCTCATGCTGCACAGCACTAACCCCGCAGGAAATGCAGGCACAGGAAATCAGATGAGCGCATCTGAACCCCATCGTGTGGTCACATTAAGGCCAGCACTGTTCTATAGACTGTTGACAGGTAAGTTCTATTTCTCATTTGTATCATTACACTGTAAAAGAAGAATAATGTTCTCTGACATCTCTGCTAGGAAGCATCTGGGAGACCTGCCTAGGTACAAACATGAAAAACTCATTTTCTCGTTTGAACCACAACAGCTTGATAAAAGACCTTGAGGCTGATTTTTCAAAGTTCACACAACCTCTGTTGGTTCTGAGAGCCAGGAGAGCCTTCCAAAAATCGAAGTACCTTTTGAGACATCATTTTATTAGATTGGTTTCTATATATAAAAAAATTTCCATTAACTGGAATGATGCTGTTCAGCCTCAAGTTTTCTTAGTATTTAAGAGTCATAGAAGAAATGACAAAGACTTTTTAAAGTAGTTTTTTTAAAGTAGTTAATTTCCTCCTTACTGACACAGGAAATTTTCTGTAGTGTTTTCTACTGATGATTGTGAGTCAGAATTTCTGGCTGTTAGCCAAACACAATACTTGGAGCTTTTGATTTGCATATATATGCCTAAAAGTTAGACAGATAACCTCAATCAAAATTTAATATAACAGATTATATGCAAAACCAATGAGAAAAGATTCATTTTCCATATTGAGTGATTTTTGTCAGTTGTGCAAATTAACACAGAGAATTACAGTTAGAATTCAAGAGGAGTCTGCTTTTCATTTTCTTTTCCAACAATATGCATAATGCAGTACATTAGCTAAAAGAATATTTAAAGGAGGCAGAGACATGGTTCTACCAGATATGTGTGGGCATAAGAACAAAAAGGGTTTTCAGCAGCACGAATCTGAAAGTACTTCCATGTTCTTCCCAGTGAAGAATTCAGCAAGCTGAAGAATTATAAACACACTTTCTACAAGCCTTCTCTATGTGATAACATCAGAGTTTATTCCTTTGCATGAAGTGTGCTTGGCTTCAGACAGGACAGTGGGCAGGAGCAGCACTTTCCTTCTGGAGTGAAGGGGGTGAGACTGCCCCAAAAGATCAGTCTGTTACTGCTTGGTGGTGCTGCTGCAAAAAGAGCTGAGGCTTCCAAAGCAATCATAAGTAGTTGATTCCAGGATGGTCTGTAAGATCTCAAAGAAAATAAATTTTGCATATTTAGCTTCAAATTTGTTATGCTGCAAGCTACTGGCGACACAGTGTCCTGTAGCCGTGTTCACCACTTGACCTCCATCCAAGGTCAGTGGTAAAACTCCCTTTAGGGAAGACAAAATTGGAACAATCATAAAACAATCCAAACATGTTCCCTATGAACTAATAACAGGAGAGCCCCAGAAATCCCATTATGTGTGAATAATCAGTGAGAGGGTGATAGTTTATGGATGAGACAGAGGACTGAATAAAAACAGGAAGAAAGAGCAAAATGATATGAAACCCCCACTGCACAATGGCTTTCAAAGGATCAGAATGCACAGAAACTTTGCTTGGCTACACACCTTGGTAGCCAGGACTTACGGATATCACAACATGTGCAACAAGAACCAAACATCTGAAAAGCATGAGAGGCAACTCCTCCCTGTTTTCATAAATAAATTGTATTTCTCTTATACTGAGAGCACAGTCTTTCTAAACTAGGTTTGTTTAAAACAACACCAACATCTTTTTTTGATCCCAGGTATCTACTCTATGTAATTGAGGTGCTGCAAGATTTGTTTTTATGCTTCTCCATGTGTGATTGGCACATGGATGATGAGCAAATGTTTTGTGTGAATTCATGCAGATCCAAGATGCCAACTCCCCATGACAAAAGGTGTAATGTTGGAAAAGTGGCTTACAACTGTCATCACCAGCACCAGAACACAGGCCTGAGCACTGTCCTGGAAATGTCCTGATTGTTAAACTGTTCACAGCACCTGCAGAGCTTTGGCTCAGGTTGTAGCTCTCCAAGACACTGCCAAGGCATGGCTCAGGAATTAACACCAGTCAGGGATCATTGCCAGTAGGAAGCCTGGTAGTGGCTCTCTGTCTGAGAGGTAAGAGTTTTCCTAAAAGTCTTGCTGTACCCTCTGAGATCTCCAGCTCAGACCTGTGCCAAGAGGATGGAAATATTAGATCCTGGGTTCCCTGTGTGCCTGGGCTCTCTGAAAACTAAACTACAGTTGTTCCTCAGTCTTTTCAATGCCTGTCAGCACACCACTACCACAGGAAGAGGCTAACACAGTTCCCACTATACTGTTCCTGCTTTGGCAGAAAATGAGCTGTACAAGAAGGAATCCTCAGATGTACAGTGATGAATGAACCAAGGCTCATGATTATTGGCAAATCATTCTGACACATGAATGGTGACAGATATATTCAGTTAAAGACTGCAGATTGTACATAGCACTGATGTAATTACAAAATAAGTATATATTTATAACATAGCAAGTGCAGATTTAAAAAATTTCATGCAGTCAGATTCTAAGGCCAGGAGAATCTGACTAACAGTGTTAGGAAGTGGTGAAAATGGCAGTAAGGAAAGGTGTATAATAACATAATTTAATGTCAGGAAGAAATTTTTTTTCAAAATACCTCAAAATCATTTCATTTTAATTGTATTTCTTAAGAACAGCATCTAAAATCTTACCAGGAGAGCTTTAGAAGCAACTAATACCTAGAAATGACCCTAGAACATAAAAGTGGTCCCCACAATGAATCCAAAGAGTTCCCAAAAATAGTAAATGTAATTCAGTGTAGCTTAATTAAGACTATTATTTTATTCTCAATTAAAATTTTGATTATGTCTTATTATGCAAAATATCTGGACTTTGGAGTCTTTAAATGAAAAATTACAAGGTAACATTGGAGACACATGCACGCTCAATAGATTCATTGAAGGTAAAAAATGAGTTAAAAGAAAAGGAATGGCTCAAGGAGAACTTCAGGTGTTGAAGACAGACGGCAAAACAAACAAACGAACACAATTATTAATTGATTGTATTCTGTTACTGATGAAGAGGTTATAGTTGTAATATTCCTAGATAGGTAGGAATTAACATATGAAGGCACAAGGTAGTTAACATGAATCCTCAAAGTTATGCTGGCCATGCAATCAGAGATGTTCTACTGAACATCCTCAATAAAATAAAAAGAAAGTAGCTCTTACCTTTGTAATTAGTAACTGATAGGTCCCCATTTTGGGCCAAGTCAGTAACTTCCAGCAGAAAGCAGCCAGTCCTCAGCTCTCTGGGTATTCAACTCTGCAGGGAGAGCACAGAGAACAGTTTGAATTGACTTCCCTATACATGGTCTTTACTCCTTATTCAACAGTCAGTTTAGAGAGCCAAACAAATACAAGCAACCAGCAGGAATATCTCTTATTTCAGTGAATGAGTACACACTCAAAAGCTCACACAAAGTTCTGGGAAAGTGAGCATCAGTATGGTGCAATTTGCCTCCTGGAATCATGAGAAATGGCATACAAAGATCTGCTTGGAAAGAATGGATGTCAAGATCACATCCACTTCTACAGACCAAGGAAGTCAGCCACAAAGTGTGGAAAACTGTTACTGCTGGATGAATAAAATCAGGAATCCTGCGTAGGAGGGGCACAAAACTTATATACTGAAGGAGAGTGAAGAGCAGGGGAATGCTTGAAAAAATTGTAAAGTCCTGTATCAGGTGAGATGCAAATGATTTCTGTTTCTGTAAGCATCTCTGCAAGCTTCACAGATGACAGGAATTGGCTTTAAATACCGATTTATTTTATTTTCTGGTATACATAAAACTGTGGGTGGGAAATGTGGGAGGCTCTCTTAAGCTGAGTGAAATATGTTCTTTATGCCCAGCATTACTGAGGTCCACACAAGACCCATTTCCACTGGGAGCTGGCCATGAGGTGAGTGGTCCCAAGAGTCTCAGTGCTGAACTCCAGTGGGTCTTGGTCAGATGCTTTGGGACCACAACAGCTTGGGGGAAAGGAGGGAGAGAGCAGTCATCCTCCTGTCAAATTTCCTCATGCCCATCCACACTACTCCTGATGGCACAAGACTAATCATGTAGAAGATATTTTTATTGTACAGTAGTAAGCTCCACTGAGCATTACTCTATTACCTGAACTAATAAAATTATCAGAATTATGAATATCTGAACTGATATTTAATATCTAGAAGATTATAATGACAAGCATTTTCTGTCTAGGAACTTCAAATCAGGACTGTAACACATTTGTATTTTGACTGCATATACTAAAAGAGTAATTAAATAATGTAAAACTAATTAAGAATATAGGAGGATCATCCATATGTAAAACCCACCATAAACAGGTCTAATTTTGTACCACATGAAAGATACAGAATTGCTGATATGCAGACATAAACATATGTGACATATATATATATATATCAAACCAGTCTCAAGCATTCCATATGAAATTTGCTGGAAGCAGGCCATTAATTACTAAAGCTGAGGCTAATCTTGAAATCTTATCATAACAGAAGTTTTGTTTTTATCAGGACTTGAGAATCCATATTCAACAAACATTATTTCACTGCCAAAATAAAATACAAAATACATGGTACAATGTGGTTGATTTAATGGAATAGTCAAATGCCACTCTTAGGCTGTTAATACTCAGAATTTACTTTTTGGTGTTTGGACAAACATTTATGCTGTTCTTCAAATATGTGAGGTTTGCTGTCATTCAACTCATCACCTAGGAGTGGAAAATCAGTTTATTTTAAGGTTTTTGGAGATAAGGGAGCAATTTTTGCCATTCATGTCTGCAGAATCTGGCAATAATCCCTTAGCAAAAGGCTTAGTCCCACCAGAGCACTGATGTCACATAAAATTAGGGCAAGTTCAGGAAAAATATTTTTAGTGTATTCTCATTAACACTAAAAGAGAAGCTGAGGGAATCCCAGCACCCAAACAAATACACATAAAAGGTCACACAAATATTTATCACCAAATCACACAAAAAATTACAGCTTCAACAGTAAAGGTAAGTGACTGATACAATTTTCTTATCCATAAAAGAATTATATTCCTCATTAATTCTTTTCACAGCAAAGCTGCTTCATTATTTATCCTCTGGATAAGCAATTATTAGCAACATTGTTCCTGGGTAGTATATGTTGGTTTTCTCTTTAATATTTTCTATGAAATACCATATATTTCAAGCTGCAAAAAGCAAAATTGAAAGAAACTCCCAAAACTGAAGAGTTGCTCTAAGCAAATAAATAGCTCTTGGTATCAAAGGAGTGCTGGGCAGGAGGAAACATGTACTTTCTCCTTGAAGAAAACTGGAGAGCACTGGAATTACAGATTTATATAAGCTCTTTCAAAAAACATCAGCCTAACTCTGAGGGTCTTCTCAGCCAAATCAATTAAGCTGAAGTTTAAAGTAGTTATAAGAAAAAAAATAAATAAAAAACAAGCCCTGTAATGAAAACATTTAGAATTGCAGTAAGTTTCTTGTGTATAACAGCAAGTAAGTTCTGGAATAGATTTTCAACAAATCGAAAAAGATAAAATGGTAATATATTAATGAAAGTGATTATATTTATTATGATAACAGGGTAATTAGAGGTGATTGGAATATGTTCCTACACAGAATGTAAATGTTAATTTGAGAATTAGGCCAAATGAGGTAGGAATACCAAAAGATTGGTGTCCAATTCTCAGCTTGATACCAGGGCTGGGTCTGTCCTGTTACTATGTTGTTTAAACACAGCCCCCAGCTTAACTCTTAGTCAGAGAAAAAAAAGGTAACCCATAAATTTTGGTGTTTTCAAGCTACAAAGCTGGAATTGAAAGCACCACAGATTAGCTCATCATGGACATTGTGTTATAAACTGAATTAAAGAATGTACTCATTTGGGTGAAAGACCGTTATACTCTTACAACAATGTTAATAGAAGTTAACTATTTTAATGCTCCAAGTCCTCTGATGTTTTCCAATACACATCCTTGCCCAGAAGGAGAGTTCTCCCAAAAATTACTGAGAAAGGGCAAGAGTGACTCATTTTAACCTCAGTCCTACAGACTGTGAGGTAGTTCTGAACATTATGAGACTTTTCCAGAGACTCTGGCATCATGTGGAAGTACCATGAAGCCAAAGGTGTGGCACCCACCATGAGCATAGAAACTCAAAATTATTCTCAAAATTATACCAATTAGACTGGAAAAGAGAAGACTTTGAAGTGATGTAATTGCAGCCTTCCAGTACCTGAAGGGAGCCCACACAAAGATGGAGAGACACTATTTACAAGAGCATGAACTGATAGGACAAGGGGAAATGGCCTCAAACTGAAAAAAATTTCTTTACTATCTGGGGCATGAGGCACTGGAACAGGTTGGCCAGAAAAGTTTTGGATACCTGATCTCTGAAAGTGTTTAAGGCCAAGCTGGACGGTGCTCTGAGCAGCCTGGTCTAGTGGAAGGTGTTCAGCATAATGCAGAGGTTTGTACTGGGTGGTTTTTAAGGCCCCTTCCAACCCAGGCTATTTTGTTATTCTATGCTGATGATTCTATGAAAGATTACTGTAGATGAAAGTATCTTAGGGAATAAATAATTGTGTGATATAAAATCTGTGGAAGTGAAATACTTCCAGGGCAGCAGGCAATTCTTGTTGGAGGAAACAAGTTAAGGAAGGCAAACAAGGATGGAGGCCAAATCAATTCTCAGCTGCCACTGGACATGATAGTTCCAGGCCATGTCCCCTCTGCCACTAGAGCTGACACAGGAATGCATTGTTGTCTTTGTCCCCCCAAGTGACCACAAGGACCTTCTGCTCTGAGTCAAATGTCACCGCTGAACTTCAGTGCTCGAGTGGTTTACAGACACACTGAGTAAATGCTGATGCCTTGTGGAGCTCTCAGAAACCTCCTGAAGTCAAATGCTGAACTTGTCTCTTGTAACACAAAACCACAAACCTGTCGTTTCATGTGCCTTTATCACATTAGATCTGGAGTTGGTTTTTTTAAGTCTTGCAATGAGCCAAAGTAAACCTATTTTTCATGCACTACCTATAAATCTATAAAATCTAAATTTTCTCTTTTGTTGATATAGCCTTGGTGATATACACTGATAATCATTGCTCAACATTTAAAATGTGCCTGTTTAAACTTGGTGTGGGTATTCTGCAGATTTTTTTTAGTGTGCCTGCGAAGGGTTTGCATGCTTTCTGCAAAGAAAATAAATAGAACAAATAGTATGGCACCACAAGTTGGTCAATTATTAGCTTTTGCATACTCAGATCATGGCCCTTCTTTACAAGGACACGTGTTAATATATAATAGAAGTGTATTTCAGTTCTTTTTAAATTGATTTTTCAGACACACAGTGCAATCTTATAAGGTCAGATGGAAAGTAAGTAGCCAAAGACAGGCCTTTCAGAATATATGAGCCACTAGCCACACATCATGAGAAATAAAACTGGAACTAAACATATGAAAATGATTTTTATTTTGTCGTATAGCATTTGGCACCCACCAGCCTCACTTAAGCCTGGACAAACTATCTGTAATGGTCTTAAAATGTGATTTGAACATTTCCCAGATCAGGGAGACATAGTAAATGTCAAGGGCCAAGTTTAGAACCCACTGCTTCAAGCTGCTGACCACAGCTCTGACAGTCCTGTGAAGCTGCTTAATTGCTTATTAATATCCAATTATCATTTTGAGGTTGTAGAAGTTGTAAGTGGGGAACAGAAAACAACTTTAATATGATTTTGTGAATAGAAAATGAGGTGGCAGGGAACTCAAAGTGGCCAGGGTAAGTACACATAGTAATCAACATTTTTGTGGCTACATTCAGAGACAGAACTAGGAAAATGTGAGAGAGAAATATTTTATTCTGAGATGTATTAAGGCAAGTCAGAGTTTTGTGAACCAAGATATTCCCAACATATAGTTACAGATAAAAATGACCAGAGAAAAAGTAGGCAGATATATAGAAAACAGTAGCCAGAGAACTGCAAACTGATTCATGCAGCCTGAAGACAGAGGCTGAGCCAAGGAACCAGAGACTGAGAAACAGTCTGGGCTCACCAGCTCATTGGGAGACTTCTGATAAGATAAAGAAAATCATATCAGAACAGTCCAGTTCAGCCTTCAACAAGCTGCCTGAACTTTGTACTGTTATGTCTGGTACAGGCAATGTTAATGCAAGGAGGGCTGTGTTACAGGGCTTCACACCATGCTGGGACCATGTTTATTCTGTACCAAGTTCAAAGTCACCCCGAAGTAAGAACACCTG